TACACAAAAATACAAAAGAGAAAGAAGGTATAGTATATGGGCATAATTAAAAGAGAAGCAGTATTTTCTTATACTATTAAGAAATCAAAGCAGTCATGAATTTTCAGGAGACATAAACAATCTAGATAAAGATCTGCTTCAGACTGCATTAGGGTGCCTGCCCAGAGGAAACAAGGGGCCTGGGACAGTAAATCCAGGTGGGCCTCTTATGTCAAACAAAAGTTCTTTTCCCGCCTCTCACATAATCAGAATTCATCTCTCCAAAGATCAGAAATAACATGTAGTGGTTAATTTTAATTAAAAGTAATATTTTTTTATTTGTTTTGAGTGAAAAACATTTTTTTGGGCTCCAATTAAGTCAGTGCCACATGTGGATCATCCCTGCCCCATGGATGCTCTTGGTATTCTGTATTAACAACATGCTAATTTGTGCACATAACTCAAATGCTGCTCCTGTTGGAGAAAAATCCTCTCCTCATACAGGATTATAATTCTGGTACTTTATCCAGTGATCAGAAATGTGAAGATACTCGATCCACTCCAGTAACATATAATCTTAGATCTTTGAAGCACCGTCTGTTGCTTTGTCAAGGAGAAAACATTCTCGGATTCAAAGAGGAAATGTGGAAGAATTTTCCAGGTATTAACTAGTCTGCTTTGAGAAATTATTTCCTTTAGTGTATGTAGAATCTTTCTCTTTAAACTTTAAACAAAGGCCATGTAAAAATGGCTTGAAATTAAAGATGAAAATTTTGTATAGTTTGATATCATAAAATGATTGTGTAAGATATTGTATGTTTCAATTGTAATGATTTTTTCTATGCTGCAAAATAGGTGGTTGAAGAAGGCTCAGACTTTCCTCATGGTTCAAGTTATATAATTCAGAGTATGTTTTCATTCCTTGATGTTGCATATTCTCTAGAGAAACAAATGACTTTAGTGAAACAATGAGGCCACATCTAAGAACTACATTCAGTATTGTGTGAATAAAGATTAATTAGGTACTTCTTGTTTATTATTCTTTCTACAGAATAAATACTCTGTCCTATCATCAACTTCATAGTTTTGTAATTCTCATACGCAATTTACACAGTTTTCATAGTTACACATTACACAGTTTTATACAGCATGCCAGGAAAGTCTCTCTGCAGTGGTATCTTGCTGGAGAGAGAGCTTGCAACAGAAATTATGTTGGTAGCACGAGTTGCAGCTTGAAAACGTAAATTGAGTACTCACAACAATCGTTATAGATGCTGGAAGTGTTGTCCCCTTCACCCAGTGATCTGGTTTCTACATAAATTTAATTTTTAGTAAGATGGCTCCATTAGGCTTAGTGCAGAGACTTTCCTGGCACACTGTACAATGTAACATTTGCTTTTTTAAAAAAATAAAAATATGTTATTGGAGTTAAACTCAAAATTTTTTGAATTCAAATTTGATTAATAAATTCAAAATGTACCTAAAAATAAAATACAATAGTGATAACAAAAAAGAGAATTGTAAATGCCTCCATTACCAGCATTTAATGAAATTCTTGAAAAATGTATTATGAATTAAATATACAAAATATTTAAGTGAAAGTAGTTTAGATATAAATTACTTTTATGAAATATTTTAGATTTGAAATACAAAATAGTTTCTTAGAATACTCTTCAAAATACAACCATTTTATAATTTATTTCTTAAAAATTTGGTTAGTTTCATTAAGGTTAAAGGGCCAAACTCATTATTTCTTTGCAAATAATTCAACATGGAACTACACGTCCAGTGCAACAATTTTCAGGTTCTACGAGCCTTCAAAGAAATAAGTTAAATTACTCTCATTAGCTGAATTATTTAATTGTCTATATTCATTTGAGGGGTTTCTAATGTCCATAGAGTTTCTCCTCAATGTTTCACCTTTCTCATCTTGCATCAGATAAGATTGTGGGGCCTCATCATTTTTTATTATTTTCACTAGATACCACTGCCTATCCTTATGAATCAAGGCATCAAGGTAGTCATGGCAGTCAAGGCTCTTTCAGATTGACTCTGTGATTGGGATGCTGATCATAATACTTTTTATAGATTGTCTGACATTCGTGAAATGTTTGTGACATTCATGACATTACTTATATCTATATATCACAGTGTACTATGTTACTCCATGGAAAACAAAAAATCATTATTTCATTTTAGCATTCCCCTGTTAACACTGGAATGCATATCTCATTCACTGTTGATTAATTTTGTGATAAATACAGAATGATTGAACATGTACATATTTCCAGATCACCAGCAAATAAAGTACTAGAATCATAGCTTTGCATGTATGCAAAGCATGAATTTGCAATTTTCTCCAGTGGGGATGAACAACATTACAGAGCGAGATGAATCAATGAATTGACAAGTGAAATGAAGGCCATCTCATATTATGAATAATTCCTAAGAATATTCTTGGGAAAGTTTTGTTTTCCAAGTCCCTCAATTTAAATACCTTGATTTGCATATTTCAGGGTGGAAATCATTAATGAGGTGCCTAGATGTGAATTAACAGTCAGTGGTAGGGATACATTTATTATTTTTGTACCATTACTCACTACCGCTACGTACTTTTCCAGCAGGG